TTAAGCATTTGAAAAATTTAAGGGAAATTATCGTTAATATACCTTTATTTTAGTAAAATCGGAAAAAAAAAAAAAAACCCTAACTTTTCAAAACTTCGCCTTCACTCTTTCTCACAAATTTCGACTTTTTTTGGACCAAAATGACATTCACGGTAGTCTTTTTACTGTAATACATTTTAAGCTTCAAGGTAATTAAAACACCATAAAAAATTCAAAGAGTATTACGGTAATTTAAATATGGTAATAGTTTGAATAATTATTACGGTAATTTAATTACTGTAATGTGTGGGGAAGTATTTACGGTATTCTTATTGCCGTAAGATTGAAAAGCTCAAACCGAAACTAATATCAGGGCTACCTCTCTCCTACCACGCTCTATGAAACAGAGGAAAAGCTGAGTTCAAAAGATAATTTAGAGTAAGTTTGGATGTACCTAAAATTAAAATATTTTTTTATTACAATCCAAAATTCATGTGAAACAGACTTTGACCGTTTAGATAATTTTGCCAGATTTTTAGATTAAAAGAAAAAAAAATACCATAAAAAAAAATCGAAGTAGACTTCTGCTCTCTCTTGCCTCGCTCTCTCTCAACCCTCTCTGCTCTCTAACTCCCAATGGTCTCTCTGTTCTCTCTCCCCTCTCACCTCTCTGCTCTCAATGACAGAGCCCTCTCTCTCTCTCTCAGTGACAAAGCCCTCTCTCTCTCTCTCAGTGACAAAGCCCTCTCTCTCTCCTCTCTAGCCTCTCTGCTCTCAATGACAAAGCCCTCTAAGTGGTTTAGGCATTGGGCTGAGCCTGGTTTTTGGGTTCTTCTTACTTGCCCTTTTTGCGGAGCTCAAATACCCCTGAAACTTACACTGTAGTGAGAGAAAATAGGAACCTTGGGGCTAAACCAGATACCCAGATTCAGTTACAGTCTGCCATGGTTGGTTTGAGGAAGGATGTGTTGCTAAAACCATATGCAGAAGATGGTATTGAGACCGAGATTATGAGGATCTACAACCTTTCAGAACCCCCAAGGTTTCTATTCACCATTAAGGAGGAGTCCAGAAAAGATTTGGAGTCAGAGGATGGCAAATCTGGGGCTGGAAGGAGCAGAAAAGGGTCTCGGAACAAGAGCTTGAGTGAGATTTTGGCCTCTGTTGAAACCCGATTTGAGACCCCTCTCTCTTCACCCAAGTTTTTCACTCCTCCATTAGCGCCCATGGACCATAACCTCGGTGGTGTCTCTTCACCTCGGTGTTATCCCCGTGGCTTTAATCACAATTTCTTTCTCTCTATATTGTCCTTCTCTGGGTCTCCAATGATGAATGCTTTCCGAAGCATGGGAATTCAGTCCTTGAACTTTGATGTGAATGATTTTACTTGAAATGGCGAACTCGCTTCTATGTTGCAGGTTCTCTCTCTCATGATCTGTGAATTTCGGTGATTTTTTGCCTGAAAATATCGAGATTTGGCCGAAAGTTATGATAATGGAATTAAGTCCTTTTCTGGTCCGGCAAAGTGGCGAAGATGGGGCATGGTTGACAACACTTTTAGGGGACCAAGATGGGGTAGAGGGTTTTTTTTGACAAATCAATGAAATTAGATATCCAAACAATTTACCAACATAATAAAATAGGACTGGAATGTTTTTCAAGTGAGGTGGAAAAACTTGCATTTATGAATATTTTTTTCTTTGACATTCAAACTGGCCCTTATCGATATGTGATGTGCTATTGCGTTTTCTTTTGTTAATTTTGGTTGTTTTTTCTATGATTTTCATGGATTCTCTCTCTCTATGTATGGCGTTTCTCTCTCTCCCTCTGGTTTTTAGCTCGCTGGATTTCCTCCTCTGCTGAATTTAGAGAGAGAAACACACCCCATCTGTTTAATCTCTCACCCCCACCTACAGACCAGCTTTAAGCGACCAACTAAATTTTGATGTTCTTGAGTAGTCTTCTTGTTTGAAAGTCAAGAGAGAGAAAGTGAATGAGAAATACAGACATCCATTCATCGCCAAAGAAACCCATCTGAGATAGAATGGCTTTTGCAACAGCCAGTAGCAGCGAGACCTCTCCCCTCTCTTTCAACATGTACTTGTGCCTCTGAGACTCCAAGAGTCTAGAGAACCAGCCCCACTATTACTTAAGCCTTCAGCAAGCTTCTTCGGAGCTGTATGTTTCAAAATCTCCATGTTCCCGTAAAAGCACGATTCAGATCTACTCCATCGTTCAAAAACACGATATTTTTATTTTAAAATTTTGATAACCATATACAAATTAAATAAAGATTATGTCCCACAAATTTATGATTTAAAAAATACAGCTAACATAGATTTTTGTCAAGGGAGTAAATAGATAGTAGACTACTGAGAGAATAAAAAATCTTTCATCTTGAGGCTTGGCAATATTGAAGTAATTAAATTACCATAATACTACTTTAACGTATCACGATATTTTAATTATCTTAATACTCCTTCAATTTATTACGGTATTTAAATTACCGTAATGTTATTACGGTAATTAAATTATAGTAATACTACTTTAAGATATTATGGCATTTTAATTGTCGTGATACTCCTTCAACTTATTATGGTATTTAAATTACCGTAATGTTGTTTACGGTAAAAAGACTACCATAAAGGTTATTTTGGTCCAAAAAAAACCAAAAATTGTGAAAAATGATGTAGGTGAGGTTTTGAAACATTAAAGTTTTTTTTTCCGATTATAGTAAAATATAGGTATAATAGCGATAATTTTCCAAAATTTAAAGGTTTTAAAAGTGAAGTCGAAAATTAGTGGAAATTGAAAATTAAAATGCTCAGGAGTGAGATCTATTTGGGTATGTTTTATGACACCACTCACATGAGGATAATAAAAGAGCCTACGAAAAGTCTACTCAAGGTTCTCCTACAAGAATTGTAGATATCCCTTTCCCTTAGAAACCTAAACTTTATATCTACGTAGTACCTCAAGTTAGTCATCCCGGACATTTGTAAATCTAAAAAACATAGGAAATCGATATGTATACAATTCCAACACCCATCGCCCTGAAAATTAATAGCCTGAAGTCCAAGACCCTTAAAACTCTATCAAATTGCACCAAGCTTGATTCCAAATTATATAGAAGGTCGTAAACTCTTTAATGGTCTAAGAATCTCTCAAATTCAATTTATGATTTGGAAGCTATGACCCGAACAAATTTATTTGCCCCAAATTTCATTTTGACACCTCTAAAATAATAGTGTAGACACATTCGGCTCGGGAAAGTCTTATGAGCACCCCAGACGCAGAGCCTGTTTTTCACCAAATTTTCCAGTAAGCTCCTTTGGGCGTAACTAACTCCATTACGCATGACTTTTTCTCAGTAAATGAGAACCCGCTTCTTTATCTCACCTCATGTAAATAGGCTTTCTAAGTCTGTGTTGTTCTTATCATTTAGCCTTTTATAGGAAATATGTTCTATAAAAGAATTTGGTCTCTCAAAAAACCGAAAGGCTTCTTCAAAATGGTTGACTATTGCTATCTTCATCTCCTCGCGATATTCTCATTTAATGCTTGCCATCTTTAACCCTCCCAAGTTGTTCCCTCTCCGCTTCGAATTCGCTATAGCATGGTAGTATTTAGTGTCTTTATGCCCTTTATCCATTTTGATCTGGATCTCTGGAACCAAAGAATGTTCGCTTTCAACCAATCATCCATGTCAATCTTCAGGCCGTTCTCGGTTATATTTCCCTTTCATCCGGGCCATTAGATTCTTGCTACTTCAAGTCGAGAGAGTGTAACTAGTTTGTTATTTGATTGGATTTTAATTGGCAACCCTTTGTTAGGATCGATTAAAGTATGCTACTAATATAGATTAATATGCAATCAAATTTAGATCAAGATCACACTTTAAACATCACTTGAATATGTAGTCAAACACTTTACATGCATATATCTTCAATCACATAATAAGCATAAGCATGTATTTTCAATAAGGGTTGCTCAAATCATCAACTTAAATCCTCAATCTATTATCATCAATTTCGTACTCTATTTTAATCAAGAATTATATCAAGTTGAGCAAATATAACATATGGAACGAACTCACCAAGGTGCTCAAGTTAGGGCTTGTAAAGAACAAGTATATCCATATTTAAAAGCATCACAAGCAACCCTAACATTGTTGAAAATCTGTATCATGAAGATATTAATAGCTTTATAGACAGAGAAAAACGATAAAAATATGATGGAGCAAAATAGCTTCACAATAGATGATTATGGTATCATTTACAATGTTATAGATACACCCTTGGGCACAAGGCACATCTAAATGCTTAGTGAGAGAGAAAAGGAATAAAGATGTTGAGAGAGAATGAGAAGTGCATCATACCAAACTCCCCAAACCCTTCCTCAATGTATTTGGCCCCCTTTGCTTCAACGGCTAAAAACAAAAAAAAAAAATAGTGGAAGGGCTCTTTTGGAAACGTGGAAAAATATGGGCTAAGCGAAAATTAGGTTATTTTGATAATTAAATAAAATAATTATCTTAATTTCAAAACTGCTCCTAAGGGCATGGAGAAAGCCCACGATTACACCCTTGAAATTTTTAGTCTTCTATTCTTCCAATTTTTATTTGACATTTAGTAATTTCATATGTAACTTGTATCCTTCCCAACCATTCACTTCTACATTTTACAACAGTTATTTTTTCCTTCCAGCCAAGCTCATTCAACGCAGATTAGATTGGGCCCAAATTTATCTCCTTAAGTATCCAGAATTAATAGCATCGCTTTCACAATTACTTTTAGAAACCCTGATTGCATGTAATTGTTGTCAATGCTCTATCAACTCTTGACATTTTTAGACGTAGTGCTAAGTTATTTGACCACATGTATTTTGTGCATATAATCGGTACTTCATAGAATGAGTGTAGCAGAGATGAGGATATTGAGATGAGAATGAAAATGAGTTGCAACACAAGAAGGGATAAAATTCGAAATGAATACATTCAAGAAAATTTGAGTGTGGCACTAAGCGATAAGATGAGATAGAGTATACTTAGGCGGGTTGGTTATTTATGGCGCAAACCCAAAACAACACCTATTAGGAGGTGTGAGTTAGTTCAAGTAGAAGGCTCATAAAGAGTAAAGGGTGAGCCCAAAGGGACATGATGGGAAGTAGTGAGAAAATATATGAAGACTTATAGCCTCACTAAAGATATGACCCTTAATAGAGTAGAATGACAGACCAAGATTTATGTAGCAAACACCAATAAATTGGAAAAAGACTTTGACGATGAATCGGTACTCCATCAAATTTTAGGTTTGAATAAATTCATTAAATTATATTATTGATAACATTCACTCCTTTGAATTAGTTTCATTAGGCCATTGGACTAAATTATAATCTTCCATTCCATACAAGAGCATGTTTATGTTATTAAGAGTATGTGAGAGATATTTTTGTTGGGGTCATAACGATGTGAACCGCTAGCTAGAGGGTCCAACAAAAGTACAAATAAAAAAATAAAAAACAATATTTTTTGACAATTATATGTGATCCTTTAAAAACATTTGGATCCTATACTACCACCAAAAAGACCACAAGATGGAAGGACAGCAAACTTGACAAGTGGTCTCTCAAAATGATCCGACTTTGTTTCCTAGAGAAGAAGAATACCAACAGTTTTTCTTTCCCAACTAGCCTTGCCATGGATCTTCTTTCCTTTCACTTCGGAGACCTCGAATATTCCATGACAAAATCCTCGTTTGGAATGGAATTAATAGCCCTCCACCCCCAGGTGATACTGAATTTGTCTGCAGGGTAAAGGGACTTGGCTTTCAAGTCCTCAACCTCCTCTTCTTTGATAACACCTCTTCAGCTACAGAATCATTTGTAGTGACACCCATCGCTGCTTCTAGCATATTTGGGATGTCTTCTCTCACTTCTTCCACCCTCTCACAGCTCTCTATCCCCGTCTCCGCTGGCTCTTGTTTCTTTCTTATGACTCGAACTACCTTTCGTTATTGCTCCACTTGTTCTTCCTCCGAGATATAAGTTACTTCGCCTTTCAACGTATCGGGAATTTAAGGTTCCCCCACTTCAAACTCCTAATTTTCTGAAATCCCCACCATTGGGTGAATCTCGTTGATCTTAGTTATATAGCAGGATAGAAGATGATATTTATCATGCATCAACATCTCTAGAATTTTGACAGTAAGTTCTCTACTCCTGACAGCCTCCTCCCATGCAGCCATGCAAACCCTTGTTGCATTTTCTGGACAAACCGATGGTAAAATTTCTAACTTGTTGTCCTCCTCCAACACATCTGGCATTCCAATAACAAACTCCATCACTTTTTCCTTCTTGTGCAAAGAGGCCTCTGAGACAGCAAGTAGCCTTGTTTTGCTACCTTTCCTCTCAATAGGAGAAGATGAGTCATTGCCAGATATGGAACCAGGAAGTTCACATAGAGGTTAAGAGGAAGACAATAGGGCATGAAATAGCAACCTTCTTCCATAGGGGGTTGGGAAGGCAATTGAAGCAACATGTCTTAATTGATAAATCAAATCCACTGCATGTTGATGGCTTAGGGGTCACCAAATACTTTATCCCCATCCGATGAGCAATGCTCTTGGTCTCCACAGTAGAAGCGCAGGGAGATTGTGGTGACAAATTAGCGAGAAATATTTCGTAGTTGAATCGATGCCTTCTCTACCTACCGCTATGGAGGTGAGTTTGGAAGGGGCCAAGGAGTTCACTTATCACACTTACATTCTCTTTATCGAGCAATAACTATAGTCCCCTTCTATCGCAGGATTGAATTCGAGGGAGGGAAGTTGCAGGGAGCGTTAAATGCGTTCATGTTTTAGTTTGAATTTGCTAAGTTGGGTTGATGTGGCATCATCCACTTTTGCTCCTGTTTCCGATGCGACCTCCTTGCTGGAGCTTGCATATGTCTAGAATTGTAATTTTCTTTTCTAGGTTTCCTTCTCTGCAAGCCATTTGAGAATAATCTTTCCTTGAAGTCAAAGTTTTATGCTTAACCTTCATTCTCTTCCATTGCTCGGCCTTTATAACAATTTGAAGTCTCATTAAGAGGCTCAGACTTCTCCTTTAAGATGGCAACTTCATAAATGATTTTTTGCCTGATTCAATCTATAGTTGCAGCCAACCTGAAAGTCATCTCTATATACGTTAAGGATCAAAATTTTTGGAATTTCTTTTCTGATTTTCATCCAAACACAATCAAGGTGATACCCAGCAGACATTTTGGAATCTACTTCCATCAATTCACTAAAACTCTACCATCATCATCATCCAAATCTATCTATTTTCAATTAATTGGAGTCGGCTACATTAATCATGTTCTTCTATTCTTGTCTATCAAGGGCCAGACCCTCAATAACACCATAGGTTCAGGATTTATTATAAGATACGGCAAAGTTTTACACTGACTGTCTACCTAACACAACCCACCTCCTTTACCCGGGCTTGAGATAAGTTAAGAGAAATTTTAAGATCCTCACACTTATTAGACCTTCACCAAACTATCACCAACTACTTAAAAATTTTGTTAGTCCATGCATGTAAAGGGATGCCTTTGATTATGATCACACGCACTCTGTTTGCAAATAAGATGAACTATTCTAATGGGACCAAGACTCCAAGGTCATCATTGAGCCCTTATATCTTCAAAAACATTTGTTTTAATACATTTGTTCTTATGGAAAATTAGTTGTGTCAAACATCTGATTGTTACATCTGCCTTCTAAATCTTCGCATTGGATTTCCAACAAGACTCAGTGTTCTCTGCCTGTCTCTTTGAATTTCTCATGAACTATTAGTCTATTACTAATATTTTCTTAAGTTTCAACATGACCCCTCATCATTGAAAGCGACTCCAAACTACTCGTCCAGTCTTTGAGTTAACGATGTAAGCTACCTTGGTAAATACAAAGAATCTCATCCAACTGCAAGGCCAATCTCTCATCCTTTGCGGATCAACAATGGCAAATTTTATACATCTATAGCGAGGCTAACATGGTTGCCAATTGCTTGGCTAAGGAGTGGTATCATGTCGATAGCAACAGTATGGTGTGCTCACCCCTCGGATATCTTAGATCCTTTACTATGATGTTGCTAATGTGCCCCTGGTTAGGGTTATAAAATGATGGCTCATGAATTAACTTCTATTTATTTTTTAATACAACAGGTAGACGCCCATCATCCTCACTAATTTATCCACCAAAAAAATAAAAATTGAATGGAAATTCATGTGACAAAACACTTAGGATATTCTCACTTCACTCAACTAAATATTTGAATCAACAAAAAGGACACTTGGTATGTACCAGCTAAACTAATCATGGGTAAGTACCAATTCTCTTCCTTGGCTGATCGGAAACGAAAAGGACCATTGTCCCAAATGCTCCCATCTCAAGCTGGGATTTTATCCCCCTTTTTTTTATGGGAAAGCATTGAAAAAAGCATCCAAATCTCTTCAAAAATTTGTCACATGATTAAATAACTTATTTTCCAACAATGTGGTCACTTTTTAATACATATTTCACTTCAGTAACTCCATTATTTTGTTAAAAACTGTCCAAACTACTATTATTTTGAGTTTGGCGCCCAAACAAACAAGAACATTTTGTTACTTTGGTCAATTACACTACTCAAACCAAACGAACTACAAACACCAATTTGTTCCAAATTCTACACCTGATGCATATTCTTGTTTTTTAAAAGAAATTTTGTTTTCTAAGTTCAGACATTAGGATTTGCATCTTCTTGCTCAAGTGACTTAGGTTAGGCTAAATATACCAGAATACTCTCACCCATTTCAATTTCAAGCTCGGGAAATGGATTTCTTACCAAAAATACGTTTTTTGGGTTTATAACCTAGAACAACTAAATTTAGATCATTTGGCTCGAGTGATTGAAGCAGGTCAAATTACCATAATGACATCACTTGTTCAAGGCTACAAACCCAGATTTCAGTACTTTTTGACAGAATTACCGAAGAGTTACACAAGCAAAAGGAATTTCGACATTGGCAAGGTGTTTCTATTGCCTCTACCAAGGGCGGTTGGATCCCATCTCGGGACAAAGGCTCATCTGCATGGTGTAGCATGTATCTCAATATTTTCTCAGCAGCAAACAAGGCATAAACAAGGGAGAACTCATGAAATATTTTGAATATTTTTTTTCCATTAACCCACTAATACAACTATATTTTTTCTTTCTTTCTGCTAAGCAAAGAAAAATGTGTGAATGGCAGGATCCAACTACAGCTGAGGGCCATTGACCACAAGGCTTTCTTCTCTTACATGTACTTTCACAAATCTGGGACTTATAGGTGGTGCATAAAGCAAAGTTACTTGTAAGGGACAAAGAGGATAGAGGAGTTGTGGCCCCCAAAGCCGAATGAGTTCGAGAGCGCAACCTTGATGTCCAGTCGCTCCTTGGTAGGCCCCACAAGCACTCTCAAATCCTGTCGCACAATGTTTTGCACGTTATGTTTACTGTTATTGCAATGAGGGAGTGGCAACCAGTGTTATCAAAACCATACCGGACAGAGAACCAGAAAGTGACTGGTCCGGTTTGATTAATGATTCAACCACCAGTTGGATCAATAAAAATCAGCCAAGACCCGAAAATCTATTTAAAAAATTTTCAAAGAGATCCGAGTTTTTAGCAAACAAAACCAGTTCCAGGTTATGTTGGTGGTCCAACTAGTTGGACTACCAGTCTGGTTCAATTCAAATAGTGAAGGATGAAACTAATGGACTGCTATCAGCAATTATGGAAAGATGCTATTAACCATTCAGAATCAGAGAGATGCAACTACTGGGTTATGGAGAGAGAGAGAGAGAGAGAGACGCTCACCACATCTTTGTCAGGCTCTTCAAGATTGACATTTGGATGAATCCACCCTGTTCGAATAGCCTAGCAAACCAGTAAGAGCTCACCCCTCAGGTTTAGGAAGCAATTTATACTTAAAGAGAATAACAATGCAACAACCAATTTCATACACGTATAGCTTCCACAACATGCAAGTGAACAAAACATTCCCTCAGAAAAGATAGTATCAAACAGGCAAAAGAAAATCAACTCATCTGGCGCTCAATAAAGACAATAGCAAAGAATTTCAACTCCAAACACTTCAGATACTAGCAATGTATGTGGTCTACTACACACCCATGTGTCACTGTATACATGAGTGAAAAAATAGAGAAACTCTATTAACCATATGAATTTCAAAACAAATGTTTACTTTTCCTAGTTCTAGATTAAAAATATGGTGATAAAAAACACTCTCCTTGTTTTTTATTACAAAGCTTCATCTATGTTAACCAATATATGTTCATGCCTGAATTAGACTAGAAGATTGAACCACTCAGGAGGAGCTGCAATTTAACTCATGATAGAAGCTGTTTGTATTGCACAAAACAATTAAGACTAGAAGATTAAAACCCTCAAATAGTAAGGAAAAATAGCTTGTGAACAGAACACTAGACTGATGAACCATATAATGCCACAAACATAAAATAAGATGGCTTAGGAGGGCCTTTCTCAGAGAGAAATAACCAAGCCAGTGGATCATACTTTCTAATCAGCAATATATATAAAAGAAACGAAAGTTACCTTCATCCCAAGGCTAGTCCAATACAATCAACCACGCTATATATTCCATATTTAAAAGACATGGAATGCAAGTTGTCTTTACTTCATCTGCAATTTGTAATGACCCTACAAATGCACTACTGAGGTAACTCCATTAATAACTAAACAGATACCTCAAGACTTCATCATGGCCTCAACAAAAACTAAAATAATCCCAGTTTGCCAAAAGACTGTTCTTTTATATCACCATTTCAGAAGCCTTGAAGTGATGGTTCAATGGAACTTCATTGTGAACTCCACAACTGCCTTATTGGTGTGCACAGAATCATACTAGGGAACCTAGACTGTTATGGCATCCAGGTAGAATGGCTTCTTTTTTTTGAATAACCTTAGTAGGAATTGAACTCTAGACGTCATGATGAGACACCACCCTGACCACCCAGGTCTACAGGCCATTCCTACATACAGAAAGTATCTCATGCACATAACTTTGATTTATCAAGATTAAGTCTCTACCACTAACTATGCATCTATAAACTAGACAGGAACGTATAGAGCAATAATCACACAAGTCGGTTTTTGGACAACTACCTCCACTTCTCAGATGTTGTGTCTCCCAGATATGTCGCTAACAAGCTAAAAAGTTACTACTGTGTAGTGTCAATGCTATTGAATCTGAAAATAAACATTTAACTTGGGACAGTAGAAGGCTCTTAAATGCAAAGTTAGATTACTGTTAATCATAGAGCAGAATTTATAAAGGCTCAGTCTCATAAAAGCAGATCAAGAGCGCTATTACCATGGGCTCTAGTCCAAAAGGAGGCCTCACAACAGATGACCTATTCCAAGAATGGAAGACTATTAGCAATAAATACCAAACTCAAGATGTAGAACTCGCTGTAGTCATCAGAGATTGCCTCCAAGCTTAGCTTCAATGGTAGCTCATTCAGGATTGCAGGGGCCAGGACCAGCAAGGGTGGGAGGCATAGTTAGAGACATCCCATGTAGGGAGTTCTTCGGGTATTTGCTAGGCTCAAGGATTTTGTGTTTCAACTGAAACAGAAGCAATGATCCTTATGATGTGTCCTAAGGTTTTAACCCACTTCTGGGCCCACTTATAGTTCAAAGTTAGCTGCTAAATGTTAGAAGATGCATTTCGAGAGATGGTATATCCATGGTGACTGGCAAACATCATGGAAGAAACTTTCATGTTAAATGATAGGACATCTATTTCCTCTCTTATGTCGCCCAATCATCTTTTTGACAATGCTTGACATATTCATGTTATATTATGTGAGAGAGAGAGAGAGAGACTACTCAAAGACCAGTCTATTCAAACTATTTAACAACAATACTACTGCTATAGATAGCCACAGATTGTAATAGGTTTCTTGACTAGCTGCAAGGGAATGGCATCCTCATAGCACCATAAATTTCCATTAATATGCCTCAGCCATCATCTGCTCAAGTTTCCCAAGTTTCCTAGGACTAGATGATAAGCAAAAGAAGTATGCTACAGGAAAAATGCGCTACCTCGTCCACCATGGCTATCCAACAGCTTAACAGACTAAAAAACATGAATCCATGCATAAGATAACCCTTTTCTTGTACTTTAAAGTTTATTGATTTTACACACGAAATAGTTAAACATGCTAAGTGAAACCCAATAGCTCAATGATAATGACATGATGGCTTTTCCAATGGTTCCATTTATTTCAAGTCAACTGTAAGATTGTGTACATCATGAAAACCTCACACACAAATGTTGAACCAACTACATATATTGTACCAGGCCAACTGTTTTCTCTTTGGGTAATTTAGCAGTATGATTTGAAAGTGCGACATAATGTTGCAACCATTAACACCTTAATCATTCAAGCCAAGCCCAACACAAGAACTTGATGCCCACAGATTTTCTTAGCAACCAAACAAAAACCACCCAAAATATATTCCAAGGGTCAAGGTTGCATGGTAAACTCATTCATGAAAAACAGTGTCTTTCTCACAGGCACAACTCCCCAAAAAGAGGACATGTGAAGTGCAGTAATTCATGTAGAAAATGCTGCCTCACGAGTTGCTGAGTGAACTAAGCTAGAGAACCTGATTCCATTGTGATGACGTGCAATGTATGACTAGCGAAGGCTGTCAACTATAGAAGCAGCAGATTCCTCCTAATGCATGCATCTTTGGAGGATACCAGTCCTCGACGAGCTATCAAGAAGAACAAAAAGAACATGCACTGATCGGGACATTTCTTAATTGAATTCATCTTATTCCAGTTTATTTCTTTTTCTTTTTCGTTTTCTTTTTCTTTTTCTTTTTCTTTTTGTGGGGTGAATCAGTGGGGGTTAGGGTCCCCTAGACATTATATTTGAAAAATATTTAAGTTAGGGTATTTTAATTTTTAGTCATACTATTTAGTAAATCATATTTTTGTGAAGGGCATTATGGACCTTTGTACCCCAATTAAGTTATAAAAGAGGTGCATGGAGGTCTGCAGGGGTCCTTGACATGAATTTGAAACGAAACGAAAACAATAAGGAAGCTTTTGTTCCCTAACTAGGGTTTTGGGAAGGAAACCGTAGTTTCCATCAATTTGTGCTTGCTTGGAATTTCTTAATTTTCTGTTTTCTTCCTCAAAAAATCAACATAAATTTCTGTTTTCCTAACAAGACTAGTGGATAAGGTCATACTACTACAAGGGAGTTGGTTGAGCAGATGAAAGAAGTCCATCAGCAGGAGCGAGCTAATTTAGAAGCTAATACAGCTATTGTCATTTCAAGGAGATCAATGTGGGTGATTTGGTAATGGTGTATCTCAGCAAGAAGAGGCATACAACAGGCATGTACAACAAATTGAATGACTGGAAGGCAGGACCACTCTAAACCTTAGAGAAGATGGGTACGAACGTGTATAAGATTGCTTTGCCTTTACATATTGATGTTTTCTGATGTTTTTAATTTGGTGATTTGTCCAAGTACCATGGAACAGAAGTTAGTGATCCTAACTCGAGGCCGAGTACTGCTCAAGTGGGGCAGAATGATGATGTGCAAAGTATGCCTAGTGAAGACGATCATCTATGGGAGCAGCAGATCCTTCCCGACACATATATCTATTTCAAGGATACAAGTACCATATAAGCCACCAAGAAGAACAGAAAGAATAAGCACTAATCGGGACATTTGCTTAGTGCATAACATCTTATCTTTATTTGTCTTAGGTTTAATTTCTTTTGTTTCCTAGTTAAGGGAGGGACATTATAGGTATTTACTTTGGCGTATTTTATTTTTAAGTTCTATTATTTAGTCAATCTTGTTTTTGCGAAGGGCAAAATGGACCTCTGCACCCCATTAAGCAGTGTTTCAAAAGGCTTTAGGCGGGTCCTAGGCGGCCTGGGGGATCCAAGCCGCCCAAAGCCTAGGCGGGCGCCCAGAACCTGGACGGCCCAGTCGAATCCAAAAAAGATGCCCATTTGAATAAAAAAAAGATATATAGTATAAAAAATAAAAATTAGGTATTTTGGGCACTTACTTTGGGTTTGATTGCTCAATCTTCAAACTTCCACTTCAAATATGCTTCTAAGGACTCAAAATCTTCAAAAAACCCCCAATAGATATATAAAAACCCTTTGAAAAACCCTTCGACCCTAAAGAAATCACCAAAAACTAGTTTTTTGGAGGCTCTCTCTCTTTAAAATGGGCTCCAATAAGTTTTAGGTTTCAAATGAACTTAAAACCATCCTTCTAACCTTTTATATTTTAAAAATAAATAAATACAAAAAAAAAAATACCGCCTCTAGGCGGGCCGTAGGCGCTGGGTGCCCTCCTAGGCGGGTTTCGTACCGCCTAGGCGCTGGGCGTTCCACGTTTTGAATCACTGCCATTAAGTTATTATAAAAGAGGTGCGTGGAGGTCTAACGGGGCCATTCACTTGATTTTGAAACAAGAGAAAAAGAAAAGGCAAGCTTCTGTCCCTAGTTAGGGTTTTGCGAATTTGTGCTTGTGCTTTGCTTAGAATTGTTAATTCTTGGTTTTCTTCTCAAGTCTCTACATCACATTGCTACCTAGAATGGCAACCACAATTGCAAGAAAAGAAGGCAAGAACACAACCAGAGATGACGACTGATCAACTGCATAGCGCTCTGAATTATGAATGGTCACTTATATCCTTTGCCACACAGGGTAGCATGATAAGAATTCACAATATTTTCTCACAGGTTATGTGCCCCCTACATTTATGTGCTTTACATTCTTTGCAAGTTTCCCAGTAAGAGTTTAGGCTACTTCCTGACATCGTTCCAATTGAATTAGCATTCCACACATTGGGAATCATAGGAGCCTGGACAGTGAGGATGTTAGTGCTGGATTAGAGAAACTATTCTGTCCTTTTCCAGGGGAGATGGCTGGAAGGAAAGCATTAAGATCTTAGACGATGTTGAAATACATATGGACATTATTTGTAATAAGGCCAGGGTGGACAACAGTCATGGCCATTTAGACAATTAGAATTTGTGTGGACATGAAAATGAGATAGCTAGCAAGTTTGAGGGGGAGTTACACCTCCATACCTCATAAAATCAGGATGCCACCTTCCATAGGTTTTGTCAAACTCAACTCGCCCTAGATGTAACCCAACTTCATGCTTATAAGCATGAAAATTAAACATAATCCAGTCCTCCACAGGAAGGGGCTCGCTATTTTGTGACAGACTAGATAAGACATCTCAAAATACTTATCATATCAGTCTTGCATACTTTGGAAACAAATGCAAAACAAAAAAGCTGATGTGGCAGCCCTGTCCAGGGATGATTTCAGTTACAGTGGATCGAGAAGTAGTACATAATATGAGTCATCACACATCTAGGTCTCATCTCTTTACTTTTCAATCAGAATTCCTACGAAAACAACTGGAGTTTTTGCTTTCAAATGTAGTGCCACACCTAGAGTGTTTTGCTTTCAAACAGAGGGCCACAATCAACAAACTATTATATCATCCCCAAATTTTGAATTCCAGTATCCTATTTTGTGTCATATTGAAGAAATGTGAAGGTGACAATGGATCACATCATCCAACACATTACATACTATGCATTCAAAAGGGGAATCAGAAGTTTTCTGGAGATTATCAATTTATGCATATTGGGTGGTGCCATTGATGAAGGCATGCTCATAGGATGCTCATCAACTGATCCATGCCTTCCAAGAGTTTGTACTCTCGGGAAGATTCACCATTTAGTTCAAGAGAACTTAGAAAGAGAGGATAAGTAATACCATCATGGGTATACACATAAACAATGAAATGGTAAGAGAATGGATTCTATTATTTCATCTTGTTCTTTAAGGGGTACCATGAGACCAAGGTGGATAACTTAATTCGAATATTGAGGAGAGTAGCACTCAGCAAAATTTCTAAACCTAAAGCTGTTTCTCAATTCAGGCAAGCCAACGGAGGTTCATAAGCTTACCTTTGATGGTAGCTCTTGGAAATCCATGCTTTTTCAGAGCTGGTGTTATCTTTTGGTTTGCAATAGAGAGGATCTTGGAGTACACCTCTTTTGATGAGCCTTAGAATTTTCCCTTGGTGATTCTGCTTGCCTCTTTAAGGGAAAAGATCGGTGTACTGGAGTTCATGGGTACAGCAAGAGATTGTATCCACAAAGAATTTAAATTGACGGGAAAGAAAATTAACCTTAAGTGCTTAATGACAACTGGCAATATCTGTTCATGATCATCATGCCCTTATAGACGTAATACATCACAGTGTGTATCAGAAACCATTAGAATATGTTGCAATACATTGTAGTGCATTTACCATCCATTCCTGAATGGACACAATAGAGATAAACCATAGTGGGCTGCAGCAGGAAACACATACAGTTGGTCCCCACCATCCATCATTGGGAATGGATGGCAAATGGTCCAATGAAGTATTGGTGTACCATACTTCATCGAATTATGGAATACTTTCCCGTCACACTAAATAGGAACCACTTGGTAGCGCATTCATTGTGTATACTGCATTCAAGCAAATGGTTTACCTGAATGACGGCCACGGCTTCAACAGCACCGGCTGCTCCCAATAAATGACCAATCATTGATTTTGTAGAGTTAACTCTTAGCTGCAAATATTATATGTTTTAGCTTTGACCCACAGAAAAGGAAAATATATTGAATGATAAAATAACATATGCAAGCAATACAAGAATATAAAAGGGAAGTGGAATTTGAAAAAAAAATTTATGAAGTAAGCACCTCAGGATTCTGACCGAAACAGTGTAGAAGAGCTTTGTATTCTTTCAAGTCACCAGACTGTGTAGAAGTAGCATGAGCATTTACATAGTTAACATCTTCCCTGGCAACCCCAGATTGAGAAAGAGCCTTCTCTATGCAAAGAACAATGCCTGTACCTGAAATTCAAATGCATAACTTAAGAACCCATAATTTTTGTAACCATTATTAGCAACTTTAGCGTAAAATTAGAAACCATTTTTTCATATATTGGTAAGCAAAGGACGCATGTAGAAATTTGAGGGTGCATATGCCATTTAGAGAATAAGAAATAAGACACCACTGGCAGTTCAAAAAAACAAGTGGAAAGTATGCTATGATCTAAGGGACCATGAATCCATAACCCCACTGGGATCATCACTGTCCAAGCAAGTAATGAGCAATGACCGCGTGTGGGATGCACTAACAGTTAAATCCTCTTATGGTCCCCCTCACCATCACTGTCCATTTTACTGGATGATGATGGACCCCGATCAGCTGTGCTTTTCCATAGTCCTTAGGATTACAGAACGTATTTCTATAAAGAAGTCTATCAAACCGATACCTTCAGGGTGAGGCTCTGTCATGTGGTAAGCGTCACAAGTGATGCTTCCACCTAGAAATTCCGCATAGATCTTTGCTCCTCTTTGCTGTGTATTTAGATAAGGAAAAAGAACAAGAAAAGAGAACATGACACTAGATAAGTACATGAGATTAACTACCATAAATATATCCCCAACCACCAAGGAAATCATTTATTTCCTGGGAGAGAAATGAGAAGCAGACCTTGGCATGCTCCAACTCTTCCAGTAGCAGCACACCGGCACCTTCTCCCATAACAAATCCATCCCGATTCTATCAAAACACATCAAGGGCATACGATGTTGAAATATCACACTGACATGCATAATACAATAGGAAAGTATAGCCCGTCCAATGGACAACAAAAAACCGTAATCCCCCAGGCCGACAGAGGAGAAAGAGCCGGACTATATTGTCCAGCCTGGAGGGTCCTCCCTCTCTCTCCCCATCACCTTCCACCATTCATCAGAGCATCAGATGGTTGTCGTCCCAGCTGACAAGGCATTTTGAAGGTCAAATCGGCTACATTCTGAAATCCCCATTAGACCAAGAAACACTTCCGAATATTGATTTAATTAAAGTCAAATGAGCATCCACTCTATGCACATAAACACAGGTGGTGGAAACTAACTATACTTCGATGAATGTCCTAGTGGGGTGGGAGCAGTATGACAAATACCATTCACTGTTATAACAGAAGAGTAGGTGGATGCCTTTTGCAGGACTGTATGGAATACTTCTAAAAACTACAAACTAAAATTAAATGTATCAAAACATACAGTATCCCATGGTCGCGACGCTTTGGTGGGATCATTGTTTCTCTGTGAAAGAGCTCTGCATGCTACAAAACCTCCCAACCCTACAGAAAACAGAAGCAATATAAGTCAAAATTCCATAGATGTTAAACTACAACCATAAGTGTCCAACTAGTACAAATCAGAGTCTTAACTTTTAAGAAATGGATCGCCCAACAACCGATCCCAATCGAGATCGGCCAGATCGGCAATCCGGCAAAATCAAGAAACAAGGAAAAAGGCATATAAATTACATAAATTTATTCTATAACAAATAACCATTGCTAGCTCTTTTGGCTGGAAGGCATGCTCCTTATCAAATGGCTCTAGGTTCGAACCCCCACACTTGCTCTACGCAATTTTCTTTTCCAACATCGAACTTTAAAATACCAAATGGTATTTGAAGACCCACTCTTGCTCTATGCAAATCTTTTCTTTTCCAACATTGAACTTAAAAAAAGAAAAGAAAAAAAAGAAAAAAAAAAAATAGCTACACAGTTGAGCCAAACCTTAAGACTTAACAACTCATAAATGCACATGCTAACCAAAACATCAATACCAACCCTATGTTACAATGGTTACATATTATATATTACATCATGTATTTGCACGTTGGACATTAAAAGAAAGAATTCAGAACACTCAGTGGGCATTCAAACCTTCGATTAAGGATGCCCCAACATACACGCTAACCAAAACGCTCATACCAGCTTCATGCTCTAACATATACATGTTCATATTATATAGATATCAAATCTCCCGATCATACAAGGAACTGGTGCGCTACCTACCAATTACCCATCAAGAAAGGGAGATTCCCAAGCCAGATAGTGCATTTTTAACACAGCTATGAACAATATGTTAATGACCATGGCTCTAGGGAGCTTAATTAACTTTGGATGTGTCTGTGAAGAAGGCACAATATTGATATTTCTAGTGTCTTAGAATATAGATTACAATGGTGTTTCAGTGTAAAACTCAAGGGACCTTTGACCCTGAAAACCCCATCAGAGTGAACCAAACACAAAAAAAAAAGAGAAAGGAGGGGGGATATGTCCACTATTGGTAGGTCCCACTTTCACCATCACTTTTCGTTGGATGGTGATGATCACAATGGATTGTGGAAATTGGATTAAAGTATAAAGAAAATCATGTGGTTCCCTTATAAAGATATGCACGTAACAAATGTTCAAACTAAGTGGTTTCATCCCACGATGAAAAAGGAATATCTGCATACCAATAGGTATAATTGCTGCATCAGAGCCACCAGAAAGCATAACATCCTGTAGCAAAAAGCATCACCGAAAATGAATTTAAAAATTGCAATTTTTTTCAATGACTCCTTATAATATTAGTAAAACTTATATTCGCAACTTACAGCTTCACCCCTGATAATATGATTGGCAGCATTTAATATACAGAAGTTACTTGTTGCACAAGCTGTTGAAATTGAGTAATTTGGACCCATCCATCCCTGCAGTTCAAACAAGTAGTATATATTATCAGACTTCTGCATTTTGCAATTTGCAGTTTACATCCAAAAATTACAGGAAAAAAAATGCTGTAGTTAAATGAATTATCGAAAATCATAGTTGGGGTCATGAAACTTCAATGAAATGATGGAGCACAGTGGATATAGAATAAGACATATCATGTCCTCTTCTAGGTTCCACTCTCTTTCCATCAACATTCATCATTATAGATGATGATGACCCTATGAGCATACCATAGCCATTGAATTATAGTACAATTTGCTGATAATTTAAGTTTGATATGCATTATCAAGGGACTGCCAAACTCTTAATGGTCATAACAAACTCACCAGATTAATTGCAAGCATTGCAGACCCCATATTAGTAGTTGCAAATGGTACACAGAAGGGATTCATCTTTTTGTATGAAACCCTAAGAGCCTCTATGGCATCATTGAAAACCTGCCAACAATATTTCAATTTTCAAGCATGAATTGTGCCAGATAGAGGTGTGCCTGTACATAAAAACTAAATTGAACACTGTAAACCAATAAACGATCCCAATGCAAGAAAACTAATCAAAGCAACAGAAACACAAAAATGAAATGATATGGAAGGACAAAAATGACATCCATGTGTGAGGTTCCCCGGGGGAAGAGGGGGCAAAGATTTGTGATATAGAGAATGCCTATACATATATTTTGCACGCAATACCTTCATCCCACCCATCGCAGAGCCAATCAACACACCACACTTTGCTTTATCTAACTCCCTCTGGACCTCATCACTCATTCCACCATCAGCCAAGGCCTTTTTCCCAGCAGTAAGCAAGTAAAGCATGAACTTGTCCATTCGCTTAGAGAATTTTGGTGCAACCCATCCATCTGTTGAGAAAGACTTGATTTCTCCAGCAATTCTCTGCATAGAAACAAACCTTACTTATGACATCAACGTCACTGAAATCTTAATTGTGGCAGCAAAGGAGATAGCAATGAAGTAGAGAAAGGATGACATATCACAAGAAAATATGAGGTAGAGAGAGAATTACAGTAGGAAAATCAGTGCAGTCGAATGTTTCAATCTCAGTAACCCCACTGACACCCTCAAGTAGATTGTTATAGAAGGGATCCAATTCATGGCCTAGAGAAGTGACCACACCCATCCCTGTGACAACAACCCTTCTTTGCTTTTTGAGAGTTTTCTTCTTTAATCCAACATCTTTGGCAGGTTGAACAGCAACAGCCATGGCTTTCCCTGCAGGTTATAAGTTAAAAAAGTAACATTGAGTCAACTTCCTTAAGTCCAAATGCTTGTCCTAAGTAAAATCTGAGTCCAAGTTGAGTAGTTATCTAATGCAAACAACAAACAACTACACTCCTAGTGGAGGAAACTTGAGCTCCTTGTCTGTTTTATTTTAGAAAGTCATCGTTTTTCGCCTTCCATTTAGAGAATAATGACGATGAGCTTAATTAAAAGTTAAGACAAATACATGAAGAGAACCAAACCAACCAAGCAGTTTGAAACAGATAATCCTAATAGCTATTTGTGTGCATGGACACTCCCCCAAATCATAACCTGCTTTAGGGGTCATCCTACATGTGAATCAATTGACCTAGTTAAGCTAATGAAGATACAATATCTAGAGCTCATGTGGATCCAAACTTACAGCAGGCATAAGGTTCAACTTTCCATTGAATTCCCAATCAATTAACCAAGCCGGACCATAAACATTGCTTTCAAGCTCCAGTTAACACTTAACTAACAAAATTGCTTTCAAGCTCAAACACCAAATTTTTCTCTTCTTTTTTTATTTTTTTTTTTATATTGGCCCAACAGAAAATTCACTGAGAAAAGCGCAAAAAATAAACCTATTGTTTCTGACATTCTTGGCGGTTGTATCAGATATCCACAAAGGATCTTATCTATTGTGAGGGCATTTTCCCTTTCAGAAATTGAGAACCTTCTTAGTTCCTAACTATCATGTTATGACATTTGTTTCCGTGCCAGGAGAAGACAAATATCTTCAAGATAGATAAGAAGGACAGTGGTATGGAATACATTGGTGAGATGCCCCAAACAAGATGACCCAAAGACTTCAAAGACTATATAGAAGGATTTGATGAGAGCTGACCTGCACTGCCTTACTTCCAAAATCTTTTACTATGAAGGCCCCTCCGCAGGGTGAAAACCTCCTTTAGGCATCCCAAACAAAATATTCCATCTCCTCTATTACCTATATCCATTAAGTCCATCTTTTTTCTTTTTCTTGACTGATCACTTAAATTTCACCTAAATTGCAGGCAACAGACCCCCCCTATTCCCTCCCCACACCGGGCAATGCCGGACCAAAGCCACAAAGGAATTAGATTAATACAGTAAGCTTTTATACTTCTAAAATAGCAAATATCTGCGCTCGTTCTAACAATCCAACTTTTGTCTTGCTCACGAGTATGTGCCTCAAGAAACCTTGCACTACTGTCTCAATCCATGTTATTTACATCCTCTGCTTAAAAAGTTTTAATCTCCCTTTTTAACTCCCTCTGGTAAACATCACAAACATCCATTTTGCCATCTCATCCTTCCCTCTTGATAAACCCAACTGCTTGTCCCAAAGCCTTTCGTTTTTTTATTCTACCCTCACCATTTCATCCACCTACATATAGAAGAGCTCAAATTCTATGATCATAATCAGTATAACGGAATTTGCATATCAGCATCTTGCTGAAACAATGGCCATTCTTTTGATCCATGCATGCTTCTGTCATTGTTTTACTCAATATTTTTCTTACAATTCACCACCTAGTTAATCATACACCATAATGTGCCACCAAGGATCTCGAGTTTAGATACAAACAAATATATTCACCAATTAATATATAAATTGAGCTTTTGGATATCCTTTTTCCACTCTTTCCTTGTCAAGAGAAACAAGTAAAAAGTATATCGATTACACACCATTAGAAATGGGATGCAGACGGTAAATGATCTCATTCAAATGGTTTGTTTCTTTTAGAAAAATATCCCCTGCTTTGTGAAGCAATTTCTCCAGGCACTCAAGTTACATCTCCTTTACGATCTTCCAATCAACCAAGCATTAACTTCTGCCTCACTCTAGATCATCACCCAGCACAAGTTAAATGCTCTATTTCAGTATTTCTAATTCACATGGAACCACCTGCACCACTTCATCAATTGGGTCAGTTAACAGCCATCCACATAAACTGTTTTAAGAACACGAATCTAACCCAGCCACATCATTTGCTTTCTGACACACATACGCATAGAAATTCTTATTCAGATTATTTGATTAGATGAGACAACCATCCCAATCTCAAGTTTCCTCTCAATCTTGTCGGAAATAAAGGAAAAATTGAATTTCCACCTCCTAGATCAGAATAGGAATCAGTAGCACAATAGAACAAAGCATTAAAAAATGAGACCAAAGTTGAATGACTAAGTGGCAGGCCAAGGATTATAACTAGGCAAATGTTGTATACCAAAAATGCAAAGAAACAATACATTTAACAAAAGTAAAATCTAAGTCGACATGCTAAAAGGTGTTCTTATGCTAATAAAAGTCAGTTACTCAAAAGGTAAAGACCAAAACCACCAACTTTGAGTGCGGGACCATAAACTATGCACCTTTAGATATGGAACAAGAGGAGAAAATGAGATGCGAACACAGAAATTAAAATCAAACATAAGAAAATGAAACATTAAACAAGAAAATGGCTTGCATTATACACAGCTCGCTGATAAAATTTCAGTGTTTCATAAACAGAAAAGCAAAAGAAAGATAAAGAATAAAAAGGATGCATCAATTTGTTGTAGACTGCACTATAATAAAAACAAAAGCAAACCAAAATAAACTTTCAACAGTTACACAGCAGGAAAAGAGAAAAGGGGAAAACGAGCCCTCACAAACAAACCAAGATTTATTGATTTTTCACGAGTGTTTGAAATTTCAAAACAAAATCAAGGGCATGCACAAAAGTCTACTAAACTAAAACAAACGTAAGAAAATAAAATTACACATGAAATCAATTAGGCATGAACCCATTTCCTGATCGGATGCCATGATCAAGAGATAAAAACCCACAAAAACCCAATATCAAACCATGCAGCATATACCGTCAAACCACATATATCAAAGTTTTACAGGAAATCAACAATAATTATTATTCATAAGTAGACTATCGTCAGAGTGGAAATTAAAGAAAAAAAATCAGAAACAAACACAGAATCAAGCTATCATGGGCTATCATTAGTTGCATATCAAATTAAGCACAATTACTGAATGCAAATCATAGAATTAATAAATTAAACCCATGTTTCATGAACATCGCTCTAAGCCAAACATTTTAAGACATATTAGAGTGCGCCATACCACACTCCAAAACATCTCAGAAAACAGCATATAAAACAAGATATGAATTAAATCATTGAATTGGAAATTAAGAAATATGAACTAAATCACTAAATTAAGTCCACAAATATTTAATCCAAAATAATCCCTAATTCATTTTCTAAAAAAACTTAAAAGAAAATTAGTTCTAGTGAGATTTGGGTTAAACAATTTCAACTAGCCATACCTAAATTAAATAACAAGAAAATGAAATTCCCACAATTAAGAATTAAAAACCAAATCACGACATAACAACACAATATGACTCCTCTAGATATGCATATGTATAGAGAGAGATCACAATATTATTATTCTAGAGTGAGAGGGAGAGAGAGATGCACCAGAGGCGTGATTCACCCTGCGCTGCCTTCGCCCGACCTTCAATCCTTTCGAACCAAAGAGAGAGAAACAATTCTCCCCAAACAGTGGAGGGTCCTTACAACTGTAATATTCCTGGCATGGCTCAAATGCAAGGCAAGAACTCAATCCTTGAAGGCTGGATCCACAGAAAGATACCAAGCTCGAGCCATAACCAGGCATCACGCTAAGGCTCTCACACATGGCCTTAGCACGAGCCATTCTCTTCCTCGCCCATCGACCCGACCTCAAACCAGGTTGTTGGGGCTGGTCCCCCGAAACCGCCATTACCGTTCTTGACATGCATGCCGCTACAAGCCATGTACACAGAGGAGAAGCAACTGCCATTACAGAGAAACCCGCAAGAACCCACTCTTCTATTTCCCTTCTCTCCCGTCCTTTCTCCGTCCCAATAAGCTCCAAGAAACTAGCAAGAAGCCGAACCCACCATGAAACAACAGATGGGTTTTTCGCTAAAATGGAAATACAGCAAACTTCTCATCTAAATCTAGAGAGAGAACAAGATAGAGAGACTAAGTAAAAGCCACCCTCTCAACTCGAGAACAAATGGGTTTTTTCCAAATATGATATGCAGCTGTACTCTGTACTTCTAGAGCGAGAGAGAGTGTGTGTGTTCAGTTTCTTGATAGAGTTAAACAGTTGGGTTTTCTTCAGTGGAAGATACACAGCGGTCTTTTCATCCAAATCGATAGAGAGAGAGAGATGGGTTTTTTGGAAGGATGGAGATACAGCGTCTGTTCATCCAAATCAAGAGAGAGAGGGACTGAAAACTCTTTGTTTCTCTCTCTAACTCTTTGTTTTCTCTCTCTACGATGGTGAGCAATGGAGACCACTGAGTTTCCGCGAATCTGAAGCCTGTGAAAAGAAGCCGTCAAACGACAAGTGCTATGCTGCGATGTTCTCCTCTCCTCTCTTTAATACAAATACAAATGGAAGTAGGATTTGCACTGGAATTCACAAATATCAGCCTTAATTTCCTTTTTTACCACACACAAAAACAAACACATATAAAATACATTTGTAATATGCTTCATTTATCAGAGTCTTTTTTGTTTTTTTATCCATTTCATCTTTTTCAAAGCCTTGGACCTTTTGGTTTTAAATTGTTTATTTTTCTATGCTTTTCTCAGTTTAGTTGTGACGTATTTTTTTAAGAAAAATAATTTGGTAGGGCTCCAGCCTTACGCAGTATCAAAATAACTAAAAACTTTACCTCATAACTCATTGAAAATTGCAATTCAAGCATCAAAACTCATCTTGGCTTGAACATTATATTTATGAAAAAAAAGATTTAAAGCTTTAAAAATAGTGAATGTTAATTTAAAGCTCTAAAAATAGTATATGTTATAAAAAATAATCTAGACGGTTCATTGCGCCCTAAAAATAAGTGTTGATATATACACAAGATCTGTATCTTTTTTTTTAGTTTCAGGTTTTATTTTTAGTGTTGAAAATTGATTTTAGAGATATCATGGAGTTTTTTGTTGCTAAAAATACTTTCCAAAAATTTCACATGAGGCTTTATTTTGTTGCTATAAAGCCTAGGCCTTATAGAAACCTCATCCTTTCCATATAACAAAAAAAGATCTCATTTTGTTGTAGGAATATTCTGTTAACTCCCTCATATAAATCCAATGTAGTTGTATTTTAGTACTCAAAGTTTGGTGATGCAGCCTCTTCCATAGACCGACCTCAAAAAAAAAAAAAATTGTTTTAATCACATTCTCTATGTACTTGGAAAAATATCAAAACTATCCAATTTTTAAAAAGTGAGATATAAGTGTTAAAGAACTGAAAATTTATTTTTTTTATTTTGAAAATAACTATTTACTAATTTTTTAGCAATTCTATATTCAGAACAATCTCTCAAGTTGGTGCTCGGCCTAAAGGTATAGGCACACACCTTTGCTCCAATGGGAGCATAGTATAGGCTCCTTATGTCACATTGTGCATCAATAAATAAGTATATTTGGAATATGACACCTAAATTGAGGGGAGTTGTTTTCTTTGGGTAGTTTATTGAAGGAATAAATATTTTTTTAGTTTTCTACTAAAGGAAATAAATAACAGGGTGGAAATATTATTAGTGTAAATGTGAAGGTTATATGAAGGTTGGTATGCCCAAACTGTAGTCTAGGCATATACAAGCTATTGAAGGGCAGTAGACTTCAAATTTGATTATGGAAATAGTGGGAGGCATATCCCATAAGTGGAATCTCATGTACGGTGCTATGAAAAACATGATCTTATCGCCCATTCGATTCCAAAGATAGATGGTGGATGTTACGGGTGTAGTTTTCGAGACTACAACTTTATGATATTTTATAAAAGAAAATCATTTCATATGGGGCTGGATGGTATTTCTACAATATGTGATCCCAATGTATAAAGCATCCATCTTGAAGATGGATGCAAATAGGAGGTCCATTTAAAACCAATTGAGACTAACTGTCCAAATGTTTTTTTAATAAAATTAATATTTTTAATTTTTAAAATTTATTTATTTTCATATTCATGATCTCCATGTTATATATTACATGTCCTTAAAAATTTTAAGTCCAAAAATCCATCTCAAAAATAGATTTTTAAGAAGTGACTCATTTCTTTATGGACTCATAAAAACCGTGTCCTTTTGCAAAAAGGTTGATGTATTATGAGACCATTTACTTTTGATACAAAAAGATCACAATCATTCTTAACTATTGGATGTGAAATTCAACTGATTGAATTGTATTATCATACTCGACACAATTCAACTCGTTTCTACATGGACTCATAAAAACCGTATCCTTTTGGACTTTTTGCTTAATCAATAATACATCCCGATTTGACATCTTATGTGCAATAATAATTATGACATCCTTATACCAAAGTGAATAATCTTATAAGAAATAGAGCTTCAACACCAAACATCCATGTGAAAGTATGTAGATATATCTACATCTCTTGCTATGGAGTTTGTAGATTCGAAAATGGTGCACACTTGTTAAGAAATATATTACGAGATATATATTAATTTGTAGATCCTGGAATAATTTTTATTTAAGATTCATAATTGTCGACGTTGAACTCCCTATTGATTTTCTAAAACCTAATGAGATTTGATGTACCACTTTACAATGCTGCTTATGCTCTAACTGGCCTATGGTTAATCTCCTTCGTCTATCACCATGGTGGATGTCGATCCCATGTTTTAGGTGAAATTCAGGGTCAATCAAAATTAGACAAAATTGTCTAGTCATGTGGGATAGTATGTGTATGCTCAGTATAGTCCAAGTCAAGTGGATCCTAACCTAAGTTACATAGTCATTTTGGGTGAAATTCTCCGGATCAATCAAGCCCGGAGCAAACTATCAACTCAAGCAAGATCGGGTATATGTATATCCGGTATGGTCCAGATCAAGGGGATCCGACCCGAGTTATAGAGTCTGCATGTCAATCAGTTCCAACCCATTTATTACTGCCATGCAAAACTTAGGAGTTTTCACAAAACCAATGACTGGTTTGGAAGTAATTCATATCCTGGTGAAGGTTCCTCAAGTTCGAATATGGTTAAAGTGAATAACATATTGACAATTTTGCGGTAAAAGAGGTCTCAAGAAATCAAAACTCAGAGAGTAGAGACTTATGTCGAGTTCTGACGTGCACCAAAATTTAAAAAATTGGGGAAATTTATATAAATTTCCTTTCTATTTTGCTGAATGTAAAAATTATTCTCGATATTTTATATTTTATACTTATGTCCACTAGTATTATATTTTAATTTTAATATTTTTTGTATATCAATTACGCTAAATTTGAGGCGTCTATACTTCTCACCATTATGCACTTGCCAAAAAAATAAAAAATACAGCAATAATTTTAAATAAAAATAACTAAAATGGTCCTAGAATATTTTTATTGAAGCATGCTGATAATAAGTATGGACACATAAATTTGAGCTCAATCTGTTGTATTAAAAAAGATAAAATAAAAGAACTAAATATGTTCTTAAAAACTAGGATATAAGCGTAAAATATAAGAGAAATATATAAATTCTAAAAGATAAGGAGGTATTATATAAATTCTAAAAGATAAGGAGGTATTAAGTAAACTTCCCCTTCAAAGTAGTTTCAAGTAATTGATCATATTTTCTTATGCACATAAAACGAAAAAGTTGTATGATCATTATGTAATCTTTATTAGTTCCCCATAACAACCGGATAAACTTGATAATAAAGTGTGATCTTTTAAATGACTGAAATTGTAAATTAACAAAATTCCTTTTTCTTTTAAAATTCGAGCAATGATTTAATGCAACAGTTGTATCATAGTATAATGCAACGATACTTCTAGAAAACCATGTTTGGGGTATTTGTATGACCTCAAATTTTGCACAAATACTCTCTTCATCTCAATAATCAGTCCCAAAAAAAAAAAAAATCAATTTCAATCCTATGGTCAAAATGAGTTTCCTCCAAAAACGAATCTAGACCATTCATTTTGTGAATTTTAAGATCTTAGTCTTTATAAACTCAAAATCATTTTTTTCTTTTTAACATTGTTCATCTAATGATAATAAAGCCATCCAAAAACATTAAAAATGAAAAAATCATTCTAAGGTCTAGTCCTAAGAATCTCACCAAAATGAACAACCTATGTTAATTGGGCTAAAAAAATACTTCTAAGTTGTGTTTTCAAATTATTTTTTTTTGTAATTGTTCATTAAAATAAAAAAAGTGTATATTTCAAAATTTCGATCAAACAAATGACCATAAAATAGTTTTTTTAATGTTATTACCTCTTATTACTCTACAACGGATGCATGAAGGATGCATGAAATCATTGGTCTTAAAATCCTTATGATCTATATAATATTATATACAATGAGCAATATGTTTAGCATTTTACACATGTTGCATGGGGCTACAATGAAACAAAGTAAACAAAAAAACATGGCCATTTTACACAGGTTGCATGGGGGTTACTATGAAACAAAAAAACATGGCCATACCCGATATAACATCTGATATTACACCTTCGGGACCAGCCCATGATGATTTAATGTTGTATTTGTCAAGAACAATGAGCAAAAGGCATAATCCATCTATTATATATAAAACACCACATGGCTTGTATGCCATATGAAATGTAAGAAACGCATCGGGTAATAATCATATGTATATTATATAGTTACTGTTAATTATTATTAGCATATATGGAACAAATTAAACGCTCCCACAGGTACATGCTGTTTAGGGTAAAACATTATGTAAGATATATTAAAGAACTATAATTTTGAAGATCTAACCCTCTGGGCTTAGCATAAAAAAGATTTGTCAATTTTAAATTTAAAATATTACGTAACAAGTAGTTTACCTCAAATCATAAATATACAATATAATCTATCGGTACCATATTAAGAAATCAAGATTTACCCCTTCTCACTTGTTGAAGATAAGCATTAAATAAGGATGATGTGACCAAATATCATCACACTATATCATTTTATCCATCTTACTCATATATTTAAACTAAATGACCATAGAATCCTTTGAGCCTATAAAATCTATATTATTAATAAAATATTTCACTAATCTTATAATTTATTTGAAATAAGCACTTTATAGAATATAATTTTGAACCACTTGTTGTGAGCAATCAAAGCAATCCATAATTAATAGTTTTGAGCTGCTTATTGTAAGGGATAGTATAAGAATTGATGGAATTCGAAAGGAATACATTCGGTAGAATTTTAAGTGGATGACTAATAGGTGATAAGATGAGATAAAATAGACTTGGATGGATTGGCCGCATGCTGTGCAGACCTAGTATAGTATTTATTAATATGTACGAATTAGTTCAAGTGGAAGGTTAAAAAAAGGTAAAAGATAGTCCCAAAAAGATATGATTAGAAGTAGTGAAAAAAGATATGAGGACTTTATGGTCTATTGGGAGTATGACCTTTAATAAAACAAAACAATAGACTATGATTCGTGT